TTTTTTTTAACTTGAGAACAGCTCAAAGTCACACAGTATTATAAAGGATTACTTTAACATGTAATTGCTTATAATGATGGGTTATATTTTAGGGTTTTGGTGTAATATACATGTATGTAATTATATAATCAATTATACACCTCTCATTAATTATCCTTTTTGAAGTTTGTACTCCTATCTTTCTCAAGAGGGGTGAAAGTGAAATATTCCCAGTATCTTAGGGATGTTATCAGTCATTAGTTAATGAAATGTTGCATTTAAGCAACATTTCTAAAGCTTACGGGTATTGCATATTTAGAGATAAGGCCAACCTCCCACTCTGCAGAAAGATAACAACGGAGAAAAAACTTTAAAAACAACTCTCATTCATTTTCATGATATATCCATGAAGGAAGGAACTACTGGCATAAACTATATGACATGCAGGGTGACATCAGCAAGATGGCAGACTAGGAAGAAAAGCCCAAGACCAGATGGCTTCATGGGTGAATTCTACGAAAAATTCAAAGAAGAATTAACACCATTCCTTCTTACATCTTTCCAAAACAGAAGAGGGGACACCTCCAAACTCATTTTATGAGTCTGGCATCACCCTGATACCAGAGTCAGACAAAAATACCACAAGAAAAGAATACTACAGGCCAATATCCCTAATGAACAGAGAAGCAAAAATCTTCAATAAAATACTAGAAAACTGAATTCAACAGTACATTAAAAGGACTAAACACCATGAACAAGTGGGCTTTATCACTATAATATAAGGATGTTTCAACATATGCAAATCAATATGATACACTACACTAACAGCTTAAAACCACATGATCATCTCCATTGATGCAGAAAAAAGCTTTCCTTCTAAGATCCTGTACAATGCAAAGATGCCCACTGTTGCCACTTCTATTCAACATAGTACTAGAAGTCTTAGCCAGAGCAATTGGACAAGGAAAAGAAAGAAAAGGCATCCAAATTGGAAGATGACATGATCGAATATGTAGAAAACCCTAAAGACTCAAAAAAAAAAAAATCCCTGTTAGAACTAAAGTTCAATAAAGTTGCAGAATACGAAATCAACATACAAAAATCTGTCGTTTCTATATACGAATGACAGGCTATCTAAAAAGGAGATTAAGAAAACAGTCCCATTTACAAAAGCAACAAAAAGAATAGAATATTTAAGAAGAAACTTAACCAAGGTCAAAAGATGCGTTCACTGAAAATTATAAAAACGTGAAGGAAATTAAAGACACAGATAATAGAAAGACGTCCTGTGTTCATGGATTGGAAAAATTAATATTGCTAAAATGTCCATACTACCTAAAGTGACCTAAAGAGTCAATTCCTTCCCTAAAAGATCTCAATGGCATTTTTTACAGAAATAGAAAAAAATCCTAAAATTCATATGGAGCCACGAAAGACCCCGAATAGCCAAACCAATCTTGAGCTAGAAGTATGTAGATGGAGGCATCACACTTCCTGATTTCCAAATATATTGCAAAGCCTACAGTAATCGAAACAGTATGGTACTGGCATAAAAACAGACATCCAGACCAATGGAACAGAATCAAAGGCCCAGAAATAAATTCATGCATCTGTGGATGACCGATATTTGACAAAAGTGCCAACAATACACAATAAAATCAATAAATGACTTGGAGAAACTGGATATCCACATGCAGAAAAATGAATTTGGGCTCTTTCCTCACACCATATACAAAAAATTCAAAATAGATTAAAGACTTAAACATAAGACCTACAACCATAAAACTACTAGAAGAAAACTTGCGGGGGACGCTTTTTGACATTGGTCTTGGCCATGATTTTTTGGCTATGGTAACAAAAGCAAAAATAGACAAGTGGGATTGCATCAAACTAAAAAGTTTCTGCATAGCAAAAGAAACAGTCAAAAGAGCAAAGAGTCAACCTGTGGAATTGGAGAAAATATTTACAAATCAATGGATTTGATAAGGGATTAATATTTAAAATGTATAAGGAACTCAATAACAAAGAACCCCTAATAACTTGATTTAAAAATGGGCAAGGGACCTGAATAGACATTTCTCAAAAGAAGACATACAGATGGTCCACAGGTATAAGAAAATGCTCAACATCACTAATCATCAGGGATGTATCCCCCCCCACCACAATGGAATGTTATTCAGCCTCGGTCTTAATAGAGAAGAAAGTCCTGCCATTTGCCACATGGATGGACCTAGAGAACATTATGCTAAGTGAAATAAGCCAGCCACAGAAAGACAAATACTGCATGATCTCACATGTGGAATCTAAAATAGTCAAACTCATAGAAGCAGGGAGTAGGATGGTGATTGGCGGGGGCTAAGAGGTGGTGGAAATGGAGAGACATCGGTCAGAGGGGACAAAATTTCAGTTATGTGGAATGAGTAAGCTCCAGAGACCAAACATACAGTAGTGTGACTAGAGTTAATACTTTATCGTACACTTGAAATTTGCTAAGAGGGTAAATCTTGTTTTCACCCTGCCCCCATAAAAAAATGATAACCGTGTGAGGTGATGAATATATTAAATAGTTTGGTCGTGGTGATTATTTCACAGTGTATACATATATCAAGACATCAAGTTGTACGCCTTAATTATATACAATTTGTAATCGTCAATTATTCCTCGGTAAAGCTGAAAAAATTACACGCAAGATGAGAGCTCAAAAAATAAATTTAAAAAAGCTTTGAGAAGCAGAATTGGGATGCCAAAACCTTTGTCTTTCAGGAAGGGAAAAGACGATGGCTGTTTGACTAGATAGAAAGCAAACGCAGAGATTGCAAAAGTGTGACACGAGCTAGTGTTTTCATTTGTGCAAATGTCTACAATCGCTTATGAATTCCCCTAAGTCATCCTATGTTCTTCATGTTGATGACATTATTCTTTATGGATGCCTGATGATGACTGGTAATGGAAGGATCAAGCTACTGGTTTTCTCGGAAGTTTAGGATGATTTAATGAAAATATTTTAAGTTCTTAGAGCACATGTATTTTTGTAGGATGGTGAAGATTATAGGTCTGAAAAGTGCATTGCTGGAGGGAAAACTTTTTAGCTGGAAATTTGTTCTCCATGATAGTTCCAGGATCTGTTTCTCATGGCGTTCTCAATAAACGGTGCTGACTTTGTAAAGGAGAAAGGCTACCGTAATGGAAGAAAAGAGAAGAATAATTGAATTCTCAGTTGCTAGTGGCTAAAGTACTTTAAAAGGTCATTGGGTGTCTTTCAGAAACTTGAGTCTGCAGAAATAAAGGGGTGATCTTGACCAGTGGTCTCTGATGTTACTATTATAATTGTTTCGGGGGCACCACGAACCGTATCTATGTAAGATGGTGAACTAATAGCAGCAGCAAATTGATTTCTTCAGGGTTTCCGGAAATGTCAGTAAATAACAGTCACTGTGTATTACTTCAAAGGACCCTCTGCAAACCACAAGCAGCTATGGCACGCTCTTTGATGAATTTTTCCCTGACTCCTTGGATGTTGAGAAGGGAAAAGTGCTTGCAATCCTCCATCATTTGTGTTCTGTCAGGATTGTGGAATGAGGCCCAGAAACATTGTGCTGGGTGGCAAAGAGAGAGGGGAGCTAGATCTCAAGCTGCTGTACCACCGTGTGCCAGTGACATCTTATAGTGCCAGGGGCCCCCGACCTGGATGCTCCACTGAACCCACTGCTACGTGGAGTTTAGGTGTATTTGGGGTAAGAAGTAGGTTGGTCTTAGTAGCAAGCATATCTGCTTTTACCACACTAGCATGAAAATCAAGTATTTGTGAATTTCTTACCTTTTACCCCCCTCCCCCAGGGGAGAGAATGGGAAGGGAGGGGTCACTGGCGAACACTGAGTTAGAACCGGTGAGCGTTTCCATGAGTGATTCCACCCACATAATGAATCTCATGGAGTCATGGGAGAGTCGGCCGTTCCTCTTCCCCAGGCCTTGTGATCAATGTATTCAACCTCACTGGCAATGCCTTGGCTGAAAAGTGTTAGTTAGCTCTTGCTCTTGTCTGGGGAGCAAGCATCCGGGTCGTGGGCTCCCCAGGCTTCTGTTAAGTTTACAGAAGTAGCCTCAGATTTTCTACGACACTAGAGAAATATCGACCCTGCAAATGTCCTTCTAATTTGCTCCCCAGATGAACTCAATTTGAACTCTCTCCACTTTGAACTTGAGCTATTAAATGAATTATAGGAATGTTTAACCTTTGAAGCACGCCGTATCCATTAATTTCTATTAAACTATAGAAAACTTCTGATTATGACAACTCAGCCTTAAAAACTGAGCCATTTCTTGGTATATATCCAAAGAAAACGAAATCTGGATGTCATAATGGTATCAGCAGTCCCATGTTCGTCGCAGCATAATTCATAATAGCTAAGATACTAAAACAAGCTAAATGCCCGTCAGTGGACAAGTGGATAAAGAAAACGTGGGATGTGTATATGTACATGTGTATACATACCATTTTCAGCAACATGGATGAACCCGGAGGATATTATGGAATGAGAAATAAGCCAGACACAGAAAGATAAATAACTGCATAGTCTCACTTATATGTGAAATCTAAAGTAGTCAAACTCATAGAAGCAGAGTGGGGTGGTGGTTGCCAGGGGTGGAGGGTGGAGGAGAAAATGAGGAAGTGCTAGTCAAAGGGCACAAAGTTTCGGGGTGAATGAGTTCAGGAGGTCAAATGTACTACGTGGTGACCAGTTAACAGTACCGTATTATATACTTGAAATTTTGTAAGAAAGTAAATCTTAAGTGTTCTCACCACAGAAAGGAAAAAGGAACGACGGTGAGGTGGTGGCTGTGTTAATTAGCTTGAGTGCGGTGATCATTTCACCCTGAGTAGACACCAAAATATCAATTGGTAAACCTTGATTATAAATAATTAAGTATAAGTGAGAAATAATTCCTATTTCTCACTTATACCTCAATGAAGCTGGAAACAAACAGACAAAAGCACTGACCCGAAGCGATTGTCTTGCAGGTATGAGAGGATCGAAATCCCCATCCATATTGTGCCTCATGTCACCATTGGGAAAGTGTGCCTCGAATCAGCAGTCGAGCTGCCCAAGATCCTGTGCCAAGAGGAGCAGGACGCGTATAGGAGGATCCACAGGTAAGCACCTTCCTCGCCCCTGCCCTCCACTTCCAGGGCCCAGTCCCATCTGCTCTTCGGTCCTTTCTTCTTCAGCATCTCAAGTCTCGAGCCCGCTTTCCTTCCACCTGTCTGTGAGAACGCTATATAGTGGTCTCCAGTCATGTCGCGCACTGTATGACAACGTCGTTAACGTGTGTTTATCACTTTGGATCCTTCAGGGGCAAAGACACTTTTTTGGTTGTAAAGACAGTAAACTACAGTATCTTAGTAGCCCTATTGCCAGGCACTGGGTTGTGCCCAATACGTGAAGACTATGTGAAGACTTCAGAGAGACAGTGCTTTTCTAAAAACTTTAAAATTTCTCTCTTTAAATTACCTTGAAGTTCCAAATAAAATCACTTCTCAAAAAGCACGAAAAGTTTAGCAATACCAGGAATTTAAATTATACATGTTTGTCTGATCCAGATGGCAGAGGCCTGGTACACTTTATCATTTCGTCTCGTAGTCTGTGATCACCTCATTTTCTCTTCGCCGCTGCTTTGTTACTAACTTACACTGTTTTACCCCTTCAGCCTTACACATCTGGACTCAGTCACCAAGATCCATAATGGCTCAGGTAAGATTTTCTTTTTCTCGAGTATGAGCACTGACCTCTGAAATACTTAGCTGATAGAAGCGGATTTAGTTTAAGCGATCGAAGTGATGGGTACAAGTTCTCCTCAAGTTCCCTTTCCCAAGAGCTTTGCCTTCGATGAATCCTGCTCCCAACTTTTCTGTGGAACACAGTGAACCCTCAAATAATATAAATGCTACCGAGAGTAAGACTGGAGGGGACACAGGAACAGGTTTTACTACAGTCTGCTCAGTGGTGGGCTGGTGCCTGTTTGACAGCCGGTCCCCAGGAAAGGGGGAGGACCCTGATGGCTGTGTTTGACAGTTTCTGTAGTATGACGCCCCTCCCATGGCTGATTTCACGTCGCATACTTCTGGAAATTTCAACACCTGGCTCTTGTGAGCTGCTCTAAGCTGGTTCTAGCACACCGATACTAGTCTGTCGTGGTGGTTGAAAGAGAAGGACACACAGACAGACAGACAGACAGAAAAAAGGGAGGGCATGAGGGAAAAATTTGTTTCACGTCAATAAATACAGCAGGGATTCCTATACAAGGCCAAGAGACAGCAAGCTCGACACAACATACAAAATGGCTTTCCCCACGATACACACCTTCCTGCCCACATTTCCTCTGTAACCTTGACTCCCAGGCCATTCTGTGCAGTCTCCCCCAGTGTCTAGCAAAGTCAGCAGTGAGGAAAAAGAGGAAGCTTTCAAGTGTTACAGGAAATTACTTTGAGGGGAAGAGAACAGAGAGATGGCGCGGCGTATCTGTCCTATCGTTTCTATCTGGAGGTAAAAGGTGACAAAGAGTTAAAAGTTGGTAATAAATAACACGTAGCGATACTCTAAAGCCACAGTAATTTAAGTCATAAGTGGACTGAAAAGAGCCCAGAAATGGGCCCGCAAGAATTTAAATTTAAGAAAGATGTTACTTCAAATCAAGAAAAAAAGGATGAATTATTCACTAAATAGTATCGAGACAGTCATTTGTCAGTTTATTCATTCAGGAAATATTTGAGTGCCTACTCTTAGCCGGCAGTCTTCTAGGCACTGGGGTACAGTGCTGAACAAAAAAGACAATCTTAACCTTCATGGACGTACATTCTATTTGCGCTTTGGGGCAAACAAGGTTCCTCGCTAACACCCTACACAAAAATTCCAGGTGTATTGAAACTTTTACTATTTAATACGGTACAGCCACTTTGGCAGAGAGCTCAGCGATTATAATGACAAATGTTCCAGAAATGTCTCTCCTAGCTGTGTACCCCAAAGAGTTGAAAACACGGATTCAAACCAAACCGCGTACAGCAATGTTCACGGCAGCACGATTCATGGTAGCCACAGGGTGGAGATGCCCCAGTGTCTGTCATTGGGTGGGTGGACACGCAGACACGTGCTCCATCCACACGACAGAGTTCTGCTCAGGATCAAAAACACCAAGTACCGATGCAGGAATGACCTGGGCGAATCCCAAGGGCGGTGCGCCAAGTGAAAGAAGCACCACACGGAATGTCACGCTCTATAGTTCCATTCATATGACATTCAAGAATCGGCAAAACTGAGCTAAGGTGACAGCAAGTGCATTAGTAGCTGCTGGGGCCACAGGTGGAAGGACGTTGACTGCAGAAAGAACTGCAGAGGGGCCTAGGGGCTGATGCAAATGGTTTATGCCTTGGCTGCAGGTGGGTACAAGGGGGTATGCACCTGTCAAAACTCATCAAACTGTATACTTGAAATGGGGTCCTTTTATTGTCTATAAATTACACCCCTGTAAAGTTCATGTTCAAAGGAAAAAAATACAGAAAGAAAATATAGGAGGATATTTTTCACACTCTAGGGAGGTAATGCCCTAATCTGAAACCCTCGACTCACAAAAGAAAAGGCTGACTAAGTAAGAGTTCAAAACTTTTATAAACCCCTACAGAAAAGTCAAATTGCTCATAGTAATCTTTAAAAAGGGGTATGGATTAAGATGAAATAATCGGTTTTTCACATTTTCTTTTGGCAAAGATTAACTTGAGAGATAAGTACGTGAAGGTATGGGAAAAGTGAACACTCCCATGTACTGTGCCTGGAGGTGTAATTTGGTGTAATTTGGTAAAATTTGGAAAATACTGGATAAAAATACAGTTTAAAAACGTACATGCACCTGAATATAGCAATTCTACTTCTAGAAATGTATCCGTCAAAAATTTGGAGGACAAGTGTGCAAAAATAAATTTAAAGGGGTATTAATTGCAGTCTTTCCAATAGCAAAAAATTGGATGCCACTGAAATGCCTATCAATAGGAGATTTATTAAATTGGTATGTCCATTCTGATGACTATCGTGTGGCCCTTAATAATAAGGAAAGCCAGGAGTCAAGACAGTGGCGCAGGTACATGCTATGTCTGCCTCCTCTCATGACCAAATCAAAATTACAACAAAACTACAGGACAACCATGGAGAATCGCCTGAAGTCTGCTGAACAGAAGTCCATACAGAAATAGCCCCGCTGAGGCTGGTATGAGCGGCGGGGACATGGAAAAAGCTGATCCCACACTCGCGTGTGGCAGTTAAAAATCAAGAGGGATCTCTCAGCTGCCAAGGTCCCCCCGGAGGAGCGAGGGGTCCTGGCCCCCCAGTAGGCTCTTGGGCCCCGGCTTTCAGTGCAGGGAAGAGAGGTCCCCACAAGTTCTGGCTGTGAAAAGCAGTGGAGAGTGTGGCTGAGTGAGACGGATGGTGGCTGGAGTTGCACACGTTCCTCTTTAAGGGCCCGAGGATGGCCTCACCGCTGATGGGCTCACTCGCCCTGAGCTCCAGTGCTGGACCAGCAGCTCGAAAGGCACCAGGGACACATGGGCAGGAACTGAGTTCTCTGGCTTCAGGATGAAGGCCGGAGGGGCAGCTTCCTCCCAGACAGAAGTGCTGATGGAAGCCACTGTTCCTCTGTTGGGCACTTCCGCCACCCAGCGTGCAAATGCAGTGGGCACCATCATACTTGAGTCTCCATCAACCTGGCTAACAGTGGTCACTCCACCTTGTTGATTCCTTGAGACCCTGACCCCCGCCCCCGCCAACGTGCATACCACCTGAGCCACTTCCAGTGGCTTTTCCATACAAACAGCCTGTCTTGGCTCTTGCTGTGGACTTTCCTAAAATCTCTCAAAGGCTTACAAACCCCAGACAAACAGCATCTGGCCTCAGCATGCCATGTACCTCTTGCTAAGTAGCCCCAAGCCTGGCACTAGCCGGCCTCAGTTCCTGACTTGGCCTCTCGAGGCACCTCCAAGCCCAGTGAAGTTGACAGTCAGTCATCTGCAGATTGCTTGGTGGCTCATGCCAGGTAGCCCCAGGCCAGGCATAGGTTTTGGACCAAGCCAGAGCATCACCTGGGCGCATGTGAGGGTGACACACCTGAAGGGCAGACTGGGCAGGCCCCAGAGCCCTGCTAAAGCGAATCCTGCTCTTGGGGTCAAGCCGTGCACAGCAGCTCCTCCACCGTCCTCACGGCCAGTCAGCCTGAGGGTCAGTCCCTCCCACTGACATGCAACCAAGGCTCTACTACAACAGGAGGGCACACACAACCCATGCAAGGGACACACATGGAACATTTGCTCAGGTGACCAGGGAGATTGCGCCCCTGAGACCCACAGGCCACATACTCCATAAGGCCACTCCACTAAGACTGGGAGATATAGCAGCCCTACCTAATACACAGAAACAAGCACAGGAAGGCAGCTAAATTGGGGAGACAAACATGTCCGATATGAAAGAACAGAACAAAGCTGCAGAAAAAGAACTCAACAAAATGGAGAAAAGCCATCTTCCAAATGCAGCTTTCAAAACGCTTGTGATAAGGATGCTCAATGATCTCAGTGAGAAATTCAACAAAGAGATAGAAAACATAAAATGGAGATAGAAAACATAAAAAGAACCAGTCGGAAATGAAGAATACAATATGTCAAATGAATACCTTAGAAGGAATCAACAGATTAGATGAAGCAGAGGATCGAATCAGTGATTTAGAAGATAAGGTAGCAGAAAACACCCCAATAGAACTGCGACATGAAAAAAGGAATCCAAAAGAATGAGGATACTTTAAGGGGCCTCTGGGACAACATGAAGCATACCAACGTTTGCATCATAGGGGTGCCAGGAGAAGAGAGAGAGCAAGGATTTGAAAACCTATCTGAAGAAACAATGATGGAAGACTTCGCTAACCCGATGAAGCAAATAGACACTCAAGCCCAGGAAGCGCAGAGAGTCGCAAACAAGATGACCCCAAAGAGGCCCGCAACAAGACACAACATCATTAAAATGGCAAAGGTTAAAGACAAAGAATCTTAAAAGCAGCAAGAGACAGGCAGCTAGTCACCTACGAGAGAGCTCCCATGAGACTGTCAGCTGATTTCTCAACAGAAACTTTGCAGGCCAGAGGGACTGACAGGAAATATTCAAAGTGATGAAAAGCAAGGAGCTACAACCAAGATGACTCTACTCAGCAAGGCTGTCATTTAGAATCGAAGGACAGATAAAGAGCTTCCCAGACAAGAAAAAGCTAAAGGAGTTCATCACCACCACGCTGCTATTACAGGAAACGTTGGAGGGACTTCTTGAAGAAAAAGAAGAAAAAAGGATCAAAAATATGAACAATAATACACGTAAAACTAATATAATACTGTATGCCAACTGTCATTGAAAAATAAAAAATTTATTTTTAAAAATGAACAGTAAAATGGCAGTAACTATATATTTATCAACAATTACTTTAAATGAGAATGGATTAAATGCTCCAATCAAAAGACACAGGGTGGCTGAATGGATAAGAAAACAAGACCCTTATGTATACTGCCTACAAGAGACTCTCTTCAGATCGAAAGGCATATACCGGCTGTCAGTAAAGAAATGGAAAAAGAAATTTCACGAAAATGGAAACAAACAAAAGTTGGGATAGCAATACTTATGCCAGACAAAACAGGCTTTAAAACAGAGGCTATAACAAGAGTCAAAGAAGGACCCAGTGATCCCACTTCTGAGTGTTTATCCAAAGAAACCAAGAACACTACCTAAAAAGGACATGAGAATACGTATGTTCATTGCAGCATTATTGACAGTCAAGATATGGAGGCAACCTGGGCGTCCATCAGTGCACAAATGGATAAAGAAGAGGTGGTACTTATGTGATGGAATATTACTCGGCCATAAAAAAGGTGAAGTCTCGCCATCTGCGACAGCCTGGATGGACCTAGAGGTTATTGTGCTGAGTGGAGTAAGCTGGACAGAGAAAGACAAATGCCATATGATTTCACTTACACGTGGAATCTAAGGAACAAAATAAACAAACAAAACAGAAACAAACTCATTGATACAGAGAACATTTTGATGGTTGCCTGGGACGGGGTTGGTGGGTGGGTGAAAAAAGAGAAGGGATGAAGAAGTACAAATTAGTAGTTATAAAAACAGTCACGTGGATGTAGAGTACAGCATAGGGAATCTAGTCAATAATATTGTAATAACTACGTATGGTGTCGGGTGGGAACTAGACTTATCGGGGTGATCGCTTCATAAGTTATATAAATGTCTAATCACTATGTCGTACACCTGAAACTAATATAATATCTCGTGCCCAGTGTAATTGAAAAATTAAAACAATATATTAAAGAAAAATAAGGAACGCTAGATATTTATTGACATAGAAAGATGTCTATGGCATTTTGTCACGTGGGAAAAGAGTAACATCCACAATCATACAGTTTTTATTCAGAATCACAGACACACACATACACACGCATATACATATGCCTTGGAAGGTATCTCCCACAATACTACAGTGGTCATTTTCAATAAGTCATGTACTACGAGAGAGAAAAAGATATTTCCATTAGGTGGAATTTGTTTTAAAAAGACTGCCATCGAATCCTTGCCTCACCATGAAGCTGAACATTCCTCGTAAGGCAGGAGAGATGATGAGTCCCTTACTCTTCATCTCTGGTCTTTCCTCATTTCCAAAGAGAAGCTTTCAGGTGAGTCGAATTAATGTATTTATTTCGTACGTAACATTCGATAAGTGATTTTCCTACTGGACTTGTGGAGAACAGTCGCAGAAGGCAGAGTTCTGGCTGCCTTGGAGGTTAGGGTCGTTTGCACTGTGGGAAGGGCGAGGGCTGGGGAAGGAGACCCTTCTGCAGCTCTTGCCCTTCTGCCGAAGGGAGTAAAGAGCTGGTCGTTTTCTGCTGTCTGCTTATCCAGGCTTCCCTCTGGCTTATGGATCCAGGGATGTTCACGATGGCCTCAGAATAGGTATCTTCGCTCAGCCGATCTGTCTTTCCTCTGGCCGGCCGTACACAACTGTCTGCCGGTCCAACCTACTGCGCTTTTCCTACTTCCTCCTCCAACCCCGTCTCTCTGTGCTCACAGTTGGGGGGCCGTTGGTGCTGGCATGTTTTCTCATCTGTGTTTTTCCTATTGAAGTGTTTACCAAGAATCTGTGCAGCCAGATGTCAGCGGTCAGCGGGCCTCTCCTACAGTGGTTGGAGGACAGACTGGAGCAAAACCAGCAGCATCTGCAGGAGTTGCAACAAGAAAAGGAAGAGCTGATGCGAGAACTTTCTTCTCTAGAATAAAGTGGGAGACAAAATGGGGTAAAGAAATTTTATTTTTCCAATAGCCTGGAAATTCACACTCCCCATGTATAGGCAGGCAATGCAGAAGCTCTCTTTATATCCCAGGGGATGAGTTTTATGCACAGAATAAACACAGGATATCTTCCCTGTAACTGGCCTACAAAGCATACGCAAGATTATTTAAGTAGAATACAGAAGGGTTTTTTTTTTGTTTGTTTGTTTTTTGTTTTTTTTGGTTTTTGTTTTTAAGGCTATGGAAGGTACATCAGCAAGGACAACTTGTAATAAACTGTCTGGGGAGTATATGTTAAATGTTTATTTTCCCCTTGTTTGACTTGGAAATCTTTATTTTCATTTTTCAGATACACTTACTCCTTACAATAAGCTAAAGGGAGGAGAGTATTTAATGTTTTAGTAATGTCCTCCTCTTTGATCTCTAAAATATGTGTCCCGAGATACCTATCAAAGTCAAATCTATGCGAGTGCCTCTCTAACCAAATAGATGAGTTCTGCCATATTTGACTCGGAAGCAAATCTGTATTTAGCGATCCTATTTCCCTAGGAACTCCCGTTATAATCTAAATGTGTTTTTCCAGAAATATTTGGGATTTAGGATGTAACAAAAATCATACTTTAAAAAGTTCTGTCGCATCGTTCTAACCTTTTGTAGCCACAAATGGTAAGTGAGCCTTCAGAAAAGAATCAAGCCTATTGCATACTGGAAATTAAAGTGGGAATTAGGGGAGGCGGAAAGAAAGAAGAAAAACAAAGCCCTAATCCCAACAACAGTGACAAAGGGTTGGGTTTGTTTTTTGTTTCTCTTTAGATTATTGTTTTTCATATTTTAAAGCATGGTCTAGAGCCACCTCTACTAGAATCACTTGGAGGCCAAATTTCATCTCTGAGAGTGGAACCCAGAAATTGTCATGAGCTCCCCAGCTGATTCTAAGGCACACTAAAGTTTGAAAAGCACTGCCCTAGTTCACATGGAGTGCAGATGCTGTATTTTCCTTAACTTCCCACAGCCACTGTTTTCTATTCTTTTATTTCCCTATAGGAAAGATGAAAACATCCTGGCGTTAAATTAATAATGCTAAATCAATTTCGAAGAAAAAGTCAGAGGACTCACATTACCTGACTTCAAGACTTCTCATAAAGCTAGAGAAATCAAGACGGTGTTGCGTATGCCCAACTGATTTTGACAAAGGTACAAAAGCAATTCAATGGAGGAAGAATAGTCTCTTCAACAAATGATGCTGGATTAATTAGACACCCACAGGCCAAAAAAATGAACTTTGACCTAAACCGCACACCTTATACAAAAATTAACTGAAAAATGTAATCATGGACTTAGATGTAAGAATGTATGTCTTATACAAAAATTAACTGAAAAATGTAATCATGGACTTAGATGTAAGATGTAAAACCATAAAGCTTTTAGAAACAAAATCATGGGAAAATCTTTAGGATCTTGGGCTAGGCAACAAGTTCTTGGCCTTCACCCCAAAAGCACAATCCTAAAAGGAAAAGGTTGATATATTGGACTTCATCAAAATGAACTTTTGCTCTGTGAAAAAAATTTAAGAGGAGGAAATTGTTGAGAGAATTATTTGCAAAGCATCTATTTGATCAATCTAGAATATATAACAGTAAAACAAACAATCCAGTTAGAAAATGAGCAAAAGACATGAATTGACATTTTACTAAAGATGAGCTATGGAATGCAAGTAAGCACAGAAAAAGATGTTCAACTTCATTAGTCATCAGAGAATGCAAATTCAAATCACGATGATTTATGACTGCTTCTCAGACTGGCTAAAGAAAATATATTGAAAATACCAGATGCTGTTGATCATACCAAGTGGATCTCTCACGCATGGCCAATAGGAATGTGGATCAACACAGCCACTCAGGAGAAGAGTCTGGAGGTTTTAATGAAGTTAAGCATACACGTATCATAGGACCCAGCAGTTGAACTCTTGGACATTTATCACAGAGGAATGAAAGCCTGTGTTGGCAGGGAAACTTGTACACAAATATCCTTAGCAGCTTTATTTGTAATAGCCAAAAACTGGAAGCAACCCAGATGTCCTGCAATTGAGTGAGTGATTAAACCAACCATCCATAGCACGGAATGCTACTGTTCAATGCAAAGGAGTAGAGTATTGATATACACAAGATGGATGGACCTCAAGGGTATCATGATGAATAAAAAAGCCATTCTCAAAAAGTAATATACCATATGATTGCATTTATATAACATTCTGGAAATGACAGAATTATAGAAATGAAGAACAGATTATTGGTAGCCAGGGGTCAGGGACTGGCAGGGGTGTGGGGTATGTACGACCATAATGGGAATAACACAAGGAATTCCTCCACGCTGACGGAACAGTTCTGTATCTTGATTGTGGTATTAGTTAAATGAATTCATATCTGTGCTAAAACTACACAGACCTACACATACCCACAAATGAATGCATGTAAGATCTGATGACTCTGGATAAGGTCTGCTGTCTAGTAAGGAGTATTGTACCATTTTCAATATGGTTTTGAAGTTGTACTATACTTATACAAGATCTTACTACTGGGGAACCTGGGCGAAGGGTACATAGGACTCACTGTACTATGTTTGCAACTTCCTGTAATCTGTAATCATTGCAAAATAAAAAGTAAGTACTAAATATGGTGCTAGGAGTTATGGTATTCGTCCGATGAAATACGAAAAGAGTGATAAAATCTGAGGGGAATACAAAGATTTGAATATTTTTACAGGCCAACTTCGAGCACATGTCCGTTTTCCTTTCTGGCCTTTATTTTCTTTGTTTATAAGGTTAGAGTCGATGACCACCAAGCTTCCTTTTAGCTCAGTGTTCAGCCTTTAAAAGTGTTAAACATCACTTCATACCACAAGGAACAGTGATGTGAACAAGATGTGTCATTAATTTCCCACCTGCATCAATCTGGCTTAACTTTACACAATATGTCGCATCGTGCACACAACCCTGTATCCCCTCATGGTAGCAGATTCTCTGTTCAGTCACAGCCAAGACTCCGATGAGAACAATACACATTTGCGTTCTCTCCTTGTTTTCTCATCTCCCATTCATTCGTTCAACTCATTGCATTCCGACCTCTGCCCACATCGCTCCATTCATACCTCTCCTTCCAGGCACCAATTACCTGTCCACATAGTGAAAGTCAACAGATGCTTCTCCTGTCCTCAATGAATCTCTCAGTGTTGACACAATTGGCCACTGTTCTTTGAAATCAATCTCTCTATCTCTCTCTCTCTCTCTGTCTCTCTCTCTCTCTCTCTCTCTCTCTCTCTCTCTCTCTTTCTCTCGGATTCTGCTTTTCTGTTCCTTTCTGGGTTTTCTCTTCTCTGGCTGTTCTCAAATTCATTTATAGGCTTCTCTATCTTTGCTACCTACATGCAGCTGACAGATAAACCTGGATCTCCATCCAGACCTTCGTCTGAACTCTACACCTACATTTCCACCTATCAACTACATATTTCAACTTGGCTGTCTTAATGGCACATCAGCCAGCAATCAATTATATTAAACAAATAAGTAAATTGAGCAAATAAATATATCGAGGAAAGGAGGAACTAGGTTTCTCAGTGTCGGAGAAATAATTTACAAACATGAAAAGGGGAAAGGCTCAAATGAACCTCATGGTGTTAGATGGAAATTGGAAGTATTAACATGAACTTATTTCCAAGGGAAAAAAAATTATATGTGTGCATATACAGATGTGTGTACACACATACATGTATGCATACATATATGCATACATATGTGCACACATGCACATATACATGCATATATTTCCTCTCTCTGTCCAGTAAAAGACACTAGAAGAAGTGATACCCTAGTATTTATGAGCACATGTAACACCCGATTATTGGTTCTCAAATACTATGCTTTACTAAAAGGTAACTAGGGACCCCGGTGAGAAATGGCTGGTTCTAGGACTGGGGAAGAAAGTATGAGATAAGCTAAGCCCATCTTTTTGAGCCATAAAGTAAGAAAATGGGGCCAGCCTGAAAGGGGTTCCCATTGGCCAAATATGGGACAATTCAAACATCACAATAATGAGAGTAAAGTATTATAACCCTTTGAATAAGAATCTGAATCCACACAGGTAAAAATAAATACGCAGATGGGGAGGAAGGAAACTTGTTTAAGTGGAAACCAACTAATAAATGTAGAAGAAATGATGACATTTGAAAATCGCCTTTGGGTGATCATCACAGCGGTAGCTGGTTCAGCTGAGAGTCGCCAATGGACACTAAGGCATGTTGATGGTTGGAGGTCTGAGTATCAAGGACATGAAAAATAGGAAAAGGCCAAGGAGTTTCTCCAGACCGAAAGAGATTTAAGACAGGAAAACTAAGTGCAACATGTGTTCCTATATTGGATTCTGGACCAGAAAAGAAAAAAGAAATTGTTGGGACAGTTGCATTATCTGAATGGGGTCTTTGGACTGGATCGTGGTGTTGCATTCCCTAATTTGGAGGGATACGTGTATAGGGTAAGGCTCTGCCATGGTTGCCCTGGTGCCCATATGGTATCCACATATGCCACACAGGCAGTCTTGAACTACAGCTAATCTGAGTGTTCGCAGAACAGCCCGAGGCCCTCCTGTTACACGAGAGGATGGAGGCCTATAAAGAACTGCTCAGAGGCCTTCTGCTACCCACCTCCCCACCTGCCCTGGGAGGCCGTCGGGAGGCAGCTTCTCATTGCCTCCTGGGTTCTGATGCGGTGAAAGGAACACTCGCTGGCTTAGCCCTTTCAGCGTGTAAATGTCGACGATAAAACTGCTGAGCTGCAGTCTAGCAGGGGCCCCTCAGCAACGGGGGCTGTCACAACTCGCGACGCAGTCATCCAGCCCCTTTCATTTCATTTTTTGTCCATTTCAGTGTACGGGACAAAGACCGCAGGGAGCTGGGACCTTTGCCGACTATGTAAGTAATAAACTGAATCTTCCAAGAGTTTGTGTGGCTTAACCAGCCAAACCTGTCAGGCTTGTGCTTGTGCTTGACAAATTTGGTGCTCAGCATGGGACTGGTCAAGTGACAATGCCCTTTTCAAAGATAAACAGGGTCAGGTTAAGGGATAAGATGGACTCCCTAGGATGTGGTAGCATCGCTCTCACCTAAGTGTTGCGTGATGGCAGAGAGAGAAGGGGTCACCCCCTTGTCCTACATGCCCAGGGGCTCAGTGGTCTGAGAGAATATAAAAGGACTCCCTGGGATCCCATAGCAGATGCTGCTACCCGTTGATACACATTTGGAAGTTAAGCAGCAGGAAGTAGGACTGAAACAAGCTACCTATCTCACTGGTGCCTTAGCCATCATTACATGTTCATTTGTCGTGGCTGACAAAAGGCCACTTAAAGCCCACAGTAAAGTCAAAGCAGTGCCTACTGGCATGAGTAACTCTGCAGCCTGCCCCAAATCTCTCCTTCCTTTACCTTAACTTCAGCAACTTTAAGAGAAGAAATTTCAAGTAACTTCCAGCTTGACAGTGTGACCAGGTCCCAGTGAAACTAGTGAAAATTATTTTTAAAAGGAAATTAAAGTCTCTGGAAGTAATCTCGAGGGTAAAGAGCAAGTCAAAAAATATCTATTTAAGAAAATCTATAAAAATCGGATAAGAATCTCTAGT